TTATGCTATTTGCCTAATCCATCTTGCTCTCCATGAGACACACACACACATATACAGGTAAAAGCAAGCTTGGGAGTCACAGCACAGGGTCAGCTAGTGTGCCACATCCAGGAGCTGGGGGTCAAGGACCTTGCTCAAGGACCCACAGACATGTGTCTATTCTGCTAAGGCCACTACAGGAGTGAATCAGCAACCTTCTAATCACAGACACAGAGGCTTAGCTTGCTGAGCCACTCACTGCCCCCTGTGATTCTTCATCATAATAAGACTGGTTTCTCTGTGGCTGGAAAAGCTTGATATCTGAAGAACGAGTCAAAGCCCTTTCCTTCAAGTCTCCATTTGTACTTGGTCTGCCATTTATTGGAAACACCTACAATAGTCAACTTCCATGCACATGTGCAGTTAACATGCGTCTACATATGTGATTTTTGCCAGACATAAAAATCCAGGCTACTATCCATTGCAAACCCCAAATGACGAAATATATGTCACTCAACGTTGCGCGGACTGAAAGCGTACATGGAACACTGAAATATGAATTGGCCTTAAGATTGCTTTTGACCTCCTGGAAGGAGGCAGGCCACTGCAGTGCTCTTCTGAGACGTGGCTACATCGTCAGCTCTGTGATCCAGCTGGACATGCTGGCTATCTTCCGTGCCGATAGGAACGCTTCTTTGTCAAGTAAGAATCATAGAGGTGGCCAGTGTGTTTACGTCAACAACAGCTGGTATACTAATGCGCCGATCATCTCTGTGTACTGCTTTGGCAGTCAGATACAGACCATTCTGCATCCGCATTGCATTCACAACAGTCATCATTGCTGTTTACATCCCTCTAGCACTAGTGCTAATGCTAATGCTGGCGGAGCCCTGGGTGAACTCTATGGGATTATCAGTGAGCTTCAGACTCACCCTAACGGCTACTTCATTGTCGCTGGGACCTTCAATAATGCATCATTAAAGACATGTTTACTCAGATTTCACCAGAATACTGACTTTTCCACATGACAGGAAAACAGGAAACCTAGTATATTCAAACATCCACCATGCGCACAAGGCCACACCCCTCCTCCACTTTGGACACTCAGACCACAGTTCCATCCTGACTCCAGCCTACAGATCTATGCAGAGCCTGATCAGACCAGCCCCGCAGGAGGTGAGAGCCTGGCCTCAGGGTGCTGAAGCTGCACTACAAAACTGCTTCGACTACACAGATTGGGAATCTTCAGGGAAGCTCATTAGACCTGGAGGAGTACACAGCTTCAGTGACTGGCTATATCAGTAAATGCATTAAGGATGTTACTGTCTCCCAAACTGTCATCATACATGCCGAGCTGTGCACCCTGGGGAGATTCAAATGCTACCTACAGGTCTGGAGACAGAGAGGCTTACACTACAGCCAGAGCCAAACAGTCCCAGCCTTTAGAGAGCCAGTCAGTGCTCAGTACAGGGAAAATCAACAGCCACTTCATGGACTCACACGGCATGTGGCAGGGAATTCAGTCCATCATTGACTACAAGCCAACACCTCAGACCTGCAGCAGTGAGACTTCCATGACAGATGGGCTGAAGGACTTTTATGCATGTTATGAGGCACAGAACAGGGAACAGTTTGGCAGTTACTTTAAATTTAGTCTTAGTTTTCATCTTCAGAAGAAATGCTTATTAGTTTTAGTCACATTTGAATCATTTATATCATTCATAGTTTTAGTCAATGAAAAGTTTTAGGTGCCTTTTAGTCACTGTTTTTAGTAAAAAGGTTTCCCGATTGCCCAACCCGGACCACAGATGATGCTATTTCCACTGCCCTCCCCCTCACCCTCTCACACCTGGACATAAAGGACAGCTACTGTATATTAATACTACATTTGTACATGAGTTATGGGTGGCATACAGTGTAGTTCATGTAATGCTGTTTGGCTATGGGAGGTATTTTCTGCAAAAAATAAAATGAAAATGA